AGCTAACCCAAAGACCATGCCCTCTTGAGAGGTTCAATTAACCAGACGCTCCTTGGGAAAAAAAATGGGCAATCTCCTCCAGAATTATCTAACAGCTTCAAAAACTGCTGGAGGGTCAGTTCAAGCTAGAAGTCAAATGTGCCTTAGGTCATATGAGAGAAATAAATACAGTGACAAAGAACAGCCAGAAATCTTCTAAAAGATGTTGTTGTTGTTGCTGTTGTGCCAGCGAGTTGCTTGTGACTCACAGTGACCCTATGTACAAGAGCCCTAAACCCTGCTCTATCCTGTGCCAATCACACCGTCTCTGACACACCCATCGCAATTACCCCAGTCACTGAATTGATCCACCTCATAGAGGGCCTTCCCCTCCTACGCCGTCCCTCCACCCTCCCAAGCATGATGTCCCTCTCCAAGGATGGGTCCCTCCTTACAACATGTCCAAAGTATGTCAGACAAAGCCCCAGAAGCCTTGCCTCCAAGGAGCAGCCCGGTTTTACCCTCTCCAGGATGAATCTGTTTTCTTGGCAGTCAATGGCAATTCAATACTCTTCTCAAGCACCACAGCTCAAAGGCATCAATTCTCCTGCTATCCTTCCTAGTCACTGTCCAACTCTCCGATGCATAACAAATGATTGCAAAGACCATAGCCTGTATCAGACACACCTTAGTCTCCAGAATAACATCATGGCTCTTCAGTACTTTGGAGAGGTCCCTAACAGCAGACTTTCCCATCACAATATGTTTTTTTATTTCCTGGCTACAGGTGCCAAGAGTGTTGACCATGGAGCCAAGCAAACTAAAGCTGTGAACAATCTCAATCTCTTTACCATTCATCCTGATGCTGCCATTGGTCCAGTGGTGAGAATCTTTATCTTCTTGACATTGAGCCTCACTCCATACTGAAGGCTGCAGTCCTTGACCCTCTGCAGCAAGTGTATCTCTAAAAGACACAGGTATGTAAATCGATAAATATAAAAGTGGTGCTATAATAAGGAATGAACACAGAGTGCTGTGATGGAGTCCTGATGTATGCTGAAAATTGCTGACTAGGCAATGTTTTGATCTCTTGTACTCCATGTACATGGTCACTATGAGTGGGGCAGGATCAAGAGCACCTAACAATAAAGCCTTTGCCATGAAATCAATTCAAACTCACAGAGATCATATATAAGAGACAACAAATGCCTCACAGGGTTTCTTTCCAATTTTGTAAATATTTACAAAAGCAGACTGACACATCATTCTCCAACAGAGTGACTGACAGATTCAAACAATCTTTTTGTTAATAGTAAAATGATTTAACCATCACACCACTAGAGCTCCTTTACGGTATAATTCAAAACCCAAACCTACTGCCTACAAATTTATTCTGGCTCATAAGGACCTTCCTTCAAGTTTCCAAGGCAGCAAATCTTAACAGGAGGAGACGGTCCATCTGTCTTCTTTGTAGCAGCTGATGGATTCAAATTGCTGATATATTTCAGTCAGCAGCCAGATAAATTCCACATTACACGACCAGAGCACCTTCAATTTGGAGTCACGGGCTATGATCAATGACCCAAAAGCCATATCTCTGACTTGCAAGCAGGGAACAGTGAATTCTCTTTGTTGCTATTAACATAAGACTTAAACCAAATGCACTGCCATGGAGTCAATCCCAACCCATAGTAACTCTTCATCAGAGTCCCAAGACTATATGTCTTTAATGAAGGAGACTGTTTCACCTTTCTCCCAAGGAGCTATTGGTGGATTTGCACTGATAATCTTTCCGTTAGCAGCCTGACACTATACCACGAACAACAATTTATTGCCGTCAAGTGAGAAACACCTCATAGCTGAACTTTCAGTGAGTTACAGAGGTAGTAAATCACATAGGAGGAGACTGCCTGTCTTTCTCCTACAGAGCAGCTGGTGAATTCAAACTACCAGCTTTTGGGTTGGAAGCACAACTCCCCCTTCACTAGGCCACAAGAGCTCCCTACTATGCCACTAGTAGTGCTAGTACTGCCACTGCTGCTGCTATGTGCAGTTCAGAACTGTCTCACAGTTTTCTAAGGTTGTAACTAGCACAAGAGAAGACTGTCCATCTTTTTTACCTAAGGAGCAGCTGATTAATTCAAACTGCCTACCTTTTGGTTGGCTGTGCAACTCCTCACACACTAGGCAACCAGAACTAAATGAAAGGAATATACAGAATCACTGTATCAAAAAGAATTGGCTGACAGAACCAATTTCAGGAAGTAGCACAGGCTCAAGGACCAATGGTAATAAAGGAAACAGTTCAAGCTACATTGGAAAAAAGTAATGCTCCAGGAAATTATAGGATACTAACTGATGTGTTCCAACAAACAGATCAGCTTTGGACGAGCTCACAACAGTGCTCAGACCTACCAAACTGTATGGAAGTCATCTATATTTATTCTCATTCCCAAAAAGGTTGATTGATAGACCAGAATGTGAAAATTATCTAACAATATCATTAATATAATATGCAAGCAAAATCTTGCTAAAGATTAAACAGTACATTAACAGAGAAATGCTAAAAAGTCAAAAGGAATTTAGAAGAGGGTGTACCAGGGATATCAATGCTGATGTCAGACCGATCTTGGCTGAAAGCAAAGAATACCAGAAGGATGTCTATCTGTGTTTTGCTGACTATGCAAAGGTGTTGGACTACGTGAATCAGAACAAATTATGGCTAACATTTAGAAGGAGAATCTCAGAGCACTTATTTGTGTGCACACAAAATCTACACCTAGACCAAGACAAGGGAGCAGAACTGTATGGTTTAAAACCAAGAAAGATGATGTGTCAGGGCTGTATCCTTCTCCATACCTGCTCAAAACTGGACTATATGATAAAAAATACTGCATCAGGATTGGAGAAGACTCATCAACAACCTGTTATGCAGTTAAAACAACTTTGCTTGCTGAAAGTGATGAAGACTTAAAGTACTTGATGCTGAAGATCAAAGACTACAGCCTTCAATACAGATTACATCTCAACATCAAGACAATGAAAATTTTCACTACTAGGCCAATAGGCAACATCATGATAAATGGAGAAAAGATTAAAATCACAATCAGAACCTGCAGTATGGAAATCAAAACACTTGTTGCATTGAAAAAATCTCCTGTCAAAGACCTATCCAAAATGATGAAAAGCATGACGTTGCTTTAAAGATTAAGTTGTGCCTGATCCAAGCCACAGTCTTTTCAATTATTTACTAAGTACCTGAAAGTTGAACAATGACTGAGGATGATAGAAGAATTGATATGTTTGAATTGTGGTGCAGGAGAATACTAAATGTCCCACAGACTGAAAAAAGAACAAACATAAAAGTCTTGGAGAAAGTACGACATGGGTGCTCCTTGGAGGCGAGGATAATGAAGCCTTGCTTCACATACTTTTGTCATGTTGTTAGCAGAGGCCAGTCGCTGGGAAAAAATAACAAGCTTGGAAAAGTGGAGGGTCTGTGTAAGAGAAGATCCTCAACAAAAGAATTCTGAATTCAGTGACTGTTACAATGGGCTCAAGTATATCAGAAATGGTGAGGACGTCAAAGGATTGACCACGAATCAGATGGCTGTTCATAGGGTTGCTATGAATTGTAGTTGGCTCGGTGCCACTTTAGCAATAACTCTGGTGGCTGAGATGTAGGATTTGCACTGCAAAGGCAAAGGTATGTCATTTGAGTCCACAGGCTGCTCTGAAGGAGAAAGATGGGTAATCCCTTCCAGTGTGACTTAACAAACAGCCTCTGAAAATCCACTGGAGGGTCAGTAATAGGTCAGTTCTGACTCAATGGCAAATAACAATTACTGCAATTACTACCTAGTCTTCTCATTATCTTTAAACAAATGGGCTTATCTCATCTTCTCACATTTGTCTAAACTGTACACCAATATTAACACGCCACCTCCCCATGCCAAATTTGCTGTTTAAGGCCAATATACAATTATTACATTCTCCAAATGTGTACTGTACTATTACTATCATCTGCATCTCTCTTTCCAATTTTAACATTTAATGATAACAGTGCATTACCACTCCTTATTCTGAACTTTTATAAAGTTTGGAGTCAAGAAAAACTACCTTCAAGTCCCATTTCTTTGCCAAAGCTGTCAAAGTTGCTGCTTTGCCATGTAAATCTGACAAATTACTAAACTTCTTGCTCCTCAGATTCCTCACCTTTCAAATGAGGATTGATAGGATGTGTACAAAACACCTAGTATATACACAATATACAGACACAAACATGCATTCCTATGAACTTGTGTAATTTTTTTTTTTTATTCCCACTTTCCTTATTCATTGCCTACAGGGGAAATGCAGCCTCTCTTGGTTTTACCAAACAAAAACAATATAAGCAATATGGATGCTAAAAACAGGATGAATTACCTGATCAAAGGGTCTCATAATATTCTAATATGCCCACAACGTAAATGACACAAATCACCCTCAGCAGAATTTTTGTTACATAATTTCTTATCTCCTATTGCAAACCTGAAAACAGGCAAAGCCACACAGAGCCCAGGTAGGCTGACAGCCCTAATACTTACATCTTTCCCGAAAGTCAGCCTGCCTCAGAGCAAACCTGACATATATAAAAGTCAAGAGAAGAAAGATCTTCGGTCAATATCTAAGACAAATAACACATAGGGGCTTTTTTCATGTAACCACTTCTGCAAATGTCAAACAAGACAGTCTAAATGGAAGGGGAGCTGAGTCACCAAATTAAAGCAATCAACCACGGCTACACCCCATCGGAGGAATCAAGTCTCTACACAGACCTCCAGTGGAGTCCCCCCAGCATCCTGTACCCGGCCCGCACTTCAGCCTCCCTGAAGTCCCCACCTCCAACGTGTGTATCAATACTCGCGAGCCTAGTCCCACCCTGGGCTCTGGCTCGGAGACAGGTATGCATCCCTTCAAAGCACGGTCCCCACTCCAGCATCTCAAGTCTCAAGTCCTGCTGCTACTACGCAGGCACTCACCCGAGCGGTGACCTTATACACCGTGTAGCCCCTCGGGTGTCGCTGGGGCTCGGTGACAGTGTAGAAACGGGCCAGGTCTGCACCCCATTCCCGAGGAGAGCTCATTCTCTCGCAGCCTCTGCCTCCACTACTCTCCGGGGACCATCAGGGCAGCCCAGAGCCGCCACGGTCCCGGGCCCCCTGGGCGGCAGGGAAGCGCGAGGGGGCGGTGGCTCCGCAGCGGCGCCGGCACCGCCCAACTCTGCTTCCGGGCCGACCAAGAAGCTTCCGGGTCACGATTAGTTTAAGCGCCGAGTTAAAAATGCACCCTAATCTGGGCTTTGTCGTGGTTATGGGAGCGAGATTCAATTGGTGACACGGCTACTCCAGTCACTCCGGAGAGCTGAGGTGCTTGCCACAAATCCGAGTGTGGTCTGACACGAGCCATTTCTAAATTTTGTAAAATCTGTTAACAGCCATGCCAAACAAAGGATAGTTAACTCAACCTTCCGATTCCCACCTGTGTACAAATTTCTGTAGGGTTGTGAAACTGAAAAACAAAGGTAGGGTTGTGAAACTGAAAAACAAAGGTAAAGAACAGATAAAAAATGTCTGCTTTGGTGTTAAAGGCATTTCCCCACATGCACACAAAGGCCTTCTAGGTTATATGAAGGAGGTTTTTTTAGTTCCTGGTATTTCAAGAATTCTTTTTGTACGATCACCAAAAAAAAAAAAAAATCTCAAACTAATTGACATAGAATCGGAACCGACTCATGTCTGACTTTCCTTTGGGTTTCAGAGACTAAATTGCAGAGGAGATTGCCCATTTCCCCCGCAGGGCCAATGGTTGAATCAAACCGCCAGAGAGATGGGGCTTTGGGGCCAGCAGCACAGCTAGTGGATATGCCACAAAAGCACCTCCTTGTACAATCAATCACTTACTGATCGTTGTTGTTGATTGCCTTAGAGTAGAGAACAACTTATAGCAACCCTACAAACAGAAGGCCTGAAGCCCCTTTACAACTACAGACATTTATCAAAGTTAATAGAATGATTTCCGGAGACTTGTTATTTAGGAAGTGGGTCCATTCCTGCTTCCAATATTGATCATTAAGCTACCAGAACTGAGACTTCAGAAGCTACACATGACAAAGAATACAGAATACACAGAGAGAGAGAGTTGTTGTTGTTAGGTGCCATTCACCCTGTGAACAACAGATCTGAATCCTGTCCTATCTAGCCTGTGTCATCTAAACGATCTCTGACACACTGGAGCCCATTGCAGCAGGCACTGTGTCTATCCATCTGGTTGAGGTTCTTCCTCTCTTTTGCCGACCCTTTACCTGGTTGATGATCTTGTGTGCCAACCCCCCACCTTTCCAAGCATGATGTCCCACTCCAAGGAATAGCCTCTCCTAACAACATGCCCAAAGTATGTGAGACAAAGCTTTCTCTTCTCACAAATACATAGAAAGGTATGGAAAACAAAAACAAGAGCCAAAGAGACTTATAGGTCTGGTGGCAATGTAGTAAAAGGTCAGTGGTTTGAACACATCAGCTATTCCATGGGAGAAAGGTGAGGCAGTCTGCTTCCATAAAGATTAAAACCCTGTGAAGCAGTTCTGCTATGTCCTATAGGTCACTGATATTGGTAGTGATGGTGTTAGGTGCTTTCAAGTCAATGATAACTCATAGTCACCCTATGAACTACAGATCTGAACCTTACCATCTTCCACCAATATCATACTCGAGCCTATTAGAATCGATGGATTCTTCCTCTCTTTCTCTGACGCTTCAACCTTTCCCAGCATAATGTTTTTTCCCATGGGCTGGATATTCCTGACAATAGTTCAAAATATGACAGGAATTTCACCATCCTTATCTCTAAGGAATATATCCTGGTTTCACTTCCTCCAAGATAGACTTGTTTCTTCTTTTGGTAGTCCATGGAATATTTGGTACACTTTTCCAACACCACAATTCAAAGGCATTGACTCTTTTTTTGTCATTCCTATTCATTGTTTCTCCTTGGAGATTAGGAATTTGAAGCTCTGTCACACATACTTTGGGCACGTGACCAGGAGAGGCTGGTCCCTGGAGAAGGACATTATGCTCAGAAAGGTGGAGGGACAGCACAGGAGAGGAAGACACCAGATGAGATGGTTTGATACAGTAACTGGGGCAATGAGGATAGGTGTGTTGAAACAGATCAGTGAGATTGGCTCAGGACAGGGCAGGCTTCAGAGCTGCTATTTATAGGGTCACTATGAGTCACAGGCAACTTCGATGGCACATCACAACAACCACATTCATTGTCTAATTTTCTGATGTATAGGATGTAAGTGACAGACCATGGCTTGGATTAGGTACACCTTAGTCTTTATTGATTTCTCTTAGCACTTTTGTGAGGTCCCTGACAGCAGATCTTCCCAAAGCAGCATATCTTTTGATTTCTTGATTGTTGTTACCATGGATGATGATGGTTTATAGGTCACTGTGACTGAGAATTTACAATAGCATTGGGTTTGGTTTTGGTTTAAAAGGCATCATCATATGTATCAGTGAATGCCTTTTAAGCATGAAGAATTAAGGCCTATGAAAAGAAAGTAAAAATGGAGCAGAAAGAATATTGGGGGGGAAGGGCTAATCACTTCCCAAATCTGATGAAAAATATTCTACAAATACAAGTTCATCCAACTTCATCTAGTATAAACTCAGAGAGTACAAAGATACATCACAATTAAACAGATGAAAGACAAAGAGACATACATCAAAGTAGCAGAGAAGTAGCAACCAAAAAAGGAAATGTAAATGAGATTAACAACTGATTTCTTAATAGAAATCACAAAGGGAAAAGACTGTTGTTGTTTACTGTCGAGTCAAAATCAACCCACAGCTGGACCTCTAGTGGGTTTTCAGAGACAGTTAATCTCACAGAAGGAGAGTGCCGATCCTTTTGCAGAGCAGTTGGTATTTTCGAGCCCAGTGCTTTTGGGACTGCAGTGCAGATTCTTGCCACTAGGCCACCTTAGATAAAATGTCCAAAGAGGTGAAAGGAGAATAAAAGAAACCCCAACAAACAAACCTCTGTCAATCTAGACTTCTGAATCTGACAGAATTATCTTTTGAAAAGAAAGAAATTATGACGTCCTGGGGTTAAAAAAAATTGGAAAGGTTTGCATCTAGATATTTGTCTTACTAAAAATGTTTTATTCAGGCTGAAAGATAAGGACACAATACAGTAACTTGAGTCAAAATTAAGAAATGACACTGTAAAAGTAACATAGATAAATATAATTTTTTCTTTTCTAGATTTTTGCTTATAACTTCTTTTTTTCTAAGTTACATATTTCATATTTGTTTATTTGAGTCACCTTTTAAATATGGGTTAGGGCTGACTATAATCTCTATGAAAACAGATCACTGAGACTGGTTACTACATTGTTGTTGTTGTTTAATGCCGTCGAGTCGTAGACATAGTTCCACTAAATAAATTCAAATTGGGCCATGTTTCCATTTCTAGTCAATCAGACCATCTGTACCACTCAGGAACTTCCATTCTAATTGTATGTACCTTCCAGTTGGACCAGTACTTCCTAAATAACATGTCTCCAGAAACTCTATGAACTTTGGTGAATGTCGATCACTGTAGAGGGGCTTCAGACCTTTTGTTCATAGGATCACTATGAGTCATGCTCGATTCGAGGGCAATTAAAAACAACAATAACACCCTCCAGTTGGAATCAACTCATTGCTGACCCTCCAGCAGATTTTCAGAGGCAGTTGTAACAGCTCAGGGGGAGATTGCCCGTCTTTCTTCTGCGAAGCAGCCAGTGAATATAAAAAGCTTCATATTGGCAGGGCAGCCCAGCTCTTTACCACTTGGCCACCAGAGCTCCCTAAAGGCAATTTTTAGTCAATAAACACAAACCTTTTTATGAGTACCTAATATCGAAAAAAGCCATCAAGTTGGAACTGTGTCTTAGCTGTGAGTTGGAACCGACTCATGACTAACCCTCCAGTGGGTTTTCAGAAGCTATAAATCACAAAGAAGATTGCCCATCGATGAGATGGATTGACACAGTGACTGGGGTAATGAGTGTAGGTGTGTCAGAGACAGTAAAATTGGCACAGAATAGAGCAGGTTTCAGAGCTGTTGTACGTAGCATCACTATGGGTTGCAAGTGACTGGACGGCACATAACAAAAACAACCCGCAGAGCAACTGGTCAATTCAAGTCCCACTCTTGGTAAGAAGTTGTGCTGTGAACTCTTTAGTGAGAGCTCCCTGAATAAAGAAGAAGTGGGATTAGATGTTTTTGTTGTCTCTGCCCTCTACTAGAACTAATCCATCGCTGACCTTCCTGTGGGTTTTTACAGGTCGTAAATCACACAAAGAAGATTGCTCATCCTTCTGTGGAGCAGCTGGTGGATTTGATTGCAGCACAGTTTCTTACAACACCAGAGTCCTTATGACTTGTGAAATTGACTTGGTATTAAATTAAAGTCTTGTTGTTTTTTTATTTTTCATAATTTTTTTATGATGAATTGGTGACACTTTTGAAATTATCCATCCCAGTGTTGTCAGTGCATCCCTTAGCACCCTCCTCATTGTCGCTCAGTACAGTGTTGCTGTTTTATGTGCCTTTGAGTCCAACACAACTCATAGTGACCCTATGAACAAAACATATGAACCCTGTTCTATCCTGCACCATCCTCACACTTCTGACACACAGGAGCCCATTACAGCAGTCACCTTATCGATCCAGCTGGTTGAGGTCTTCTTCTCCTTCACTGACCCTCCACCCTTCCCAGCATCATGTCCCTCTCCAAGGAATAGCATCTCCTAGCAATATGTCCAAAGTATGTGAGGCGAAGCCTCATCATTCTTGCCTCCAAAGAGCACTCCGGCTGCATCCTTTCAAAGACATATATGTTCGTTCTTTTGTTCACTCATGGGATGTTCAGTGCTCTTCTCAAACACCATAGCACAAGGCATCATTTCTTTTTCTGTCATCCTTATTCATTTTCCATCTCTCAGATGCATAGCTAGTAATCGGAAAGACCATGGCCTGATTTAGACACGCCTTAGTCCACAAACTGGCATCATTACTCCTCAATAATTTG